TTTTTCTGCTGACTCTAGGTCCTCCTGAATATTTAGGCTGTCCTTCATTGTTTGTACCCCTTTTCTTCCTTGCTTTTTTATGCTGCTCATGTTACTTCTTGTTCTGTTTGACTGCTGAGTTACTGTTTACTCTTATAAATTTATTTGATGCTTGGGAGGAAAGATATTAGAAGGGAAGGGAAGAAGTCACTAAAGAGAATGAGAGTAGGCAGGTAGAATTCAAGGAAGGGGGAATAAGAAAATTGAAAAGACAAAAGAAACAAAAACAAAACACACACAAAAAAGTTAGAAACTAAAGAAAGAAAGAAAAGAAAAAAATTTTTTTTACAAAAATAATAATGATAATAAAAATAATGAAAATTAAAATTAAAAAAATTATAACAATAATAAAAATTAAAAATTAAAAAAAAATTAGAAACATTAAAAAAGTTAAAGAACAACAAAAAATTGAAAATGAAAGAAAAAAAAAGAAAAAGAAAAAAATGATAATAATAATAATAATAAATGCAGTCATAGAGTTCGATTAATTTCTCTTCCAGTAGGTGGAGCTGTGCCCACTGGGTCAAGCTTCTCCTCTCACTAAGTGGGAACCAATCACTGTGTAGCAGCTCTTCCTCACAGACTGGGCGGGTCTCCAATCCTGAGTGCCTAGGGCCTTCTCTTGTGTTTCCTCAAGCCAGGCCGTGCTCACCTGTGACGCTCACCACAATACTGGCTACACGCCATGTCTGCTGCTCCTGGGAGCCCTGTTGCGCTGGTTTCAATGCAGTTATCTCCTCCACCCGTGACGTCAGTTCTCTGCCAAGGTGGTATCACATGTAAATGGTGACCAATGCAACGGGTGGGTCCTGACTGTCTCTCCCAATCGCCGTTTCAATCCTGTGGCCACTGCCTATGAAGGCTCAGTTGGTTTTTACCTCTGAAAGTTCCTAAGGGCCAACCAGTTATTTCAGCGGGATTGTTAGTGCTGAGTCACGAGAAGCAGGCGAACTGGAGCTTGGATGCAGCCGATCCGGGCTCGGTGTGTGTGTTCTGAGGGGCCCAGACTGTACACCCCAGATCCACGTCAGCTCAGCATTGCCTAGTGATCCTGAGCAAACAGCATTTATACAGTTTACAGCTCCCTATGCCCGCGCAGTTGAAGAGGTCAGAGACTTGATCTCTCCCCGCCCACTGCCATGTTAGATCCCCTCAATGATATTCATGTTGCCCTTACAGCTTCCTGGCATAAGCAAGTTCTTGGGATTATACAAACTGCTGCTTCTGTTTCCAGTCCAGATTTCTAGAAATTAAACCCTGCCGCCATCGCCTCTTCCCCGGGGCCACGCTCAGGGGCGCCGCGCTCGTAGCTGCGCCGCCGACCGGTGCCCAGACCCTAGGTCCCAAGCGGCCTCCGCCGCGGCTCTCCGGCTCCCTCCTCTGAAGCAGGGGTCCCCTCACAGGGCATGCAGAACGACCCCAGAGCAGGCTCAACCCGAGGGTGCAGCGGCGAACAGGCGACCCAGGCGCTCAAGGCTGCGGTCCAGCCTTTGGAGGACAGGGCTCGGCACGCAGCCCAGCTCCAACCTCTAGGTGCGGCTGCCAGACAATGTAGCCATAGCCATCAAGACAGCCGGCAGAAAGCAAATGGCGGCTCCCGCGGAGTGGATTTTCGGCACAGAAACCGTAGCCCAGCCAACGATCCCAATCCACAAACTCTCCCTGTATAAAAAATATTCAAAAAAAAAAAAAAGGCGGGGCGCACTGAGCTTTCTTTGCCTAGGGTACTTACAATCCACTGCTGATTACACATTCACCTTTTCTGCCCGGAGCGAAGCGAAAGAGGAAGCAGATGGGAGCAAAGCGCCCGCGGCTCTTTTAATACCTTTTTAGAAACATTTTTTTGCCCTCTAAAATTTTGTAAGTGTGTTTTGATATGTTATAACAGTAATCACTGTAAGATCCTTTGTTAACGCAATAGAATAGAATAGTAAAAGTTAGATGAGCAAGATTAAATTTAAGTGTTATTATTGACCCTTGGGTCAAATTCCTTAGGACTTGTTAGTTCCTTCGACTGGATTATCTTACCTTTTTACTACACTTCTCCCCAGTCTCTAACTTTATGGTCCAAATTGAAACATACACAGTGCTGTGTATTATTATTAGTAAATAATAATAGATAATCACTTAGAGCTTCCTGCGATTTACAGCATACTTCCTTTATATGACTTCTTGGAACCTCACACAGTACTTGCCGCAGTCTGGCTGGGCACAATCAGGAGCCACTTGTCAAAAGAAACTAACTTTATTTTTAGAACCACACACGCCAAACAAAACAGCCTCTCAGGAAAAACCCTCAGAGCCTCAACTGCCACCACCGGCTTTCCACAAGCCTCTCTCTCCCCTACAAGCTTCTCTCCACCTCCCACAATCCTCCTGCTCTTGAGGCCGATTGGCTGGGTCACGTGGGCGGAGCCAAAAAAGTCCCCCAGTGAGCAGCTCCGTGGTCTGAAAAGGCAGGGAAACAGCCCAATGAACATCACCGCAGAGGAGCCAATCAGCTAGATGTTGCTGGGGCCGCTGTGAGCCAATCATCAGCCGGCAGCTGGAAGTTTGCTGGGGCCCCTTCGGCTGTGGCTCTCAACAGTACTCTTGGCTGAAGACAGATGTTGGTATGTCTTTACAGATGGAGAAAATAAATTTGGTAACTATTTTGGTTTATTTAATCCAAAGTCAGTGAACAGTAAAGTGAAGTAGAGAAAGGTGAGATTCAGTAAGTGCTTTTTCTTCATTTGATTCTCACCATCCCCTCATGATACTGGGAATCAAACCCAGAGCCTCAGGGTTTCTAAACAAGTGCTCTACCACTGAGCTACATCCCCAGCCCATTTTAATTTATTTCAAGACAGGGTCTCACGTAGATTCTTCTCAGATCTTTTTGTTGTTGTTCGATTTCCTGGTTAGCAAAGTTTTTGTTACATGTTTTGCTACTTACTGTCCTTGTTAAGATTCTCAAGATGTTAAGTGATTAGCTACTGTTTTCTTGCCTTTTACTTCAGCTACCTACAAGACTATATTTTCTGTAGCCAACTTTTCTGCTTACATTCCTGCAGAAGCATCCTGTCTTTTACTTTTGTTGCTAGCATTGCTTTAGTTTGATGGTAGGACATTGTAATTCACCTCCCAGACCCAAATTTTTGCTACCCCTTTCCTTCCTGTTCCTACCTGCACCAATATGGAGAGGAATGGAATGTTACTCTATCGGATACCACTTCTATAGTTTGTAATATATGAAGTTAAAAATTTCAAATTAGTAGGTAAAGTTATAGTTGATTCCAAGATTGATATTTTATTCCTCATTTACTAACACAGTGTTAGCTATTTTTATCAGAATACCAGTTCTAACTCATAATATTTCACAACTGCTTAGTTCTTAACCTCTTTCAAGTTGTGTATTTGACTCAATATGATTTTGCTTTACTTTTTTGTTATACAAAATTTCAAAAAAACTCAGATATCAAGAACATGATACAGTGAACTCCATGTATATCTATCACTCAACTATAACAGTAACTTTAACATAACTTGTTCTTTTTGTTATCTTCTTCTATAATAGCTTAAGTAGACTATAGTAAAGTTGCATCATAAAGTTTTTTAAATAAAGTAAAAATTGTCAATTTAAGTAAGTGTATTTTGCCCCTGGAAAATGAATAATTTCAAATATTCATAAAATCTTAAATGCCTATACATTCAGTAGTCTTGCTTAAGTAGCATGTTAAAAGTAGATATTTTGTTCATTAAGTTTGATTTTCACTGAATCATTCAAAGGTTGACTATTTAATGGTAGGGTTGAATATATAGTGGTTAATGTTCTGTTTGTATATATGACAAAATATTAACTCCTCATTCTTAAATGCCACTTTATGTAGCCTGAATACATAGTGTATAATTATTTGATGTTGAAATTGTGTTTTCTTTAAGTATTTTATCATGTGATCATTCAGATCTAGTACTATGCCAAAAATATTGTATCATTTGAATTCTGAATCTTCACCTTTCTAAGAAAAAGCCTAAGCATTTGAGAAGAAAACTGTTATTTTGTACTATAGTATTCTTTCATACAATTCTTTAATTAGAGAATTATTAATGTTTATAAACATAACTCCTGAAGTTTGTTTAAAAGATAGTCATTTTATTCTGTGACAATGTTGTTCAACTTAATTGATTTAATTCTTTTATACTATGCAGAAGAAATAATTTTGAAGGAGATTCTATTAGTTTTCTGGTACTTCTTTTCATTTGATATATTTGATAAATTATATTCTTTAGTATCATCCAAATAAAAATGATTTTATTACTTCTAACTTAGCCAGAAAACCAAACTTTTTTCATTTTATTGTTTATTTTTCTACTTGATGTTTTGTGCTGTGACAAACCATTATTATTCCACGAGTGGTCTAGAACAGAAGTCAGTAATTTCAACCAAAAATAGCCAGGAGCTTTTACATTGAGAATGATTTGAAATTTGACATTTGAAAATTTCAAACTTTCCTAAGTTTATGACTGATTTGTTTCTATGACAAGTTTCCCCCTCCTGCTCTGTCATTTTTAAATATAATGTGGGGAAGAATTTTTTTTCTGGATAGGAAAATGATTGGAATCTCCATGGGATCATTGGAAATAGAAACCTTGGGTTTCTACAGAAAAATTCTTTTGATTACACTAAAGAGTATTCATGGATTTTATGAGAAGGCTGTGGTGGGCTTCTTTGCAAATCTTAAAATTAGGTCTATTTTAGCAGAAACAGCAATGTATTTTTAAAAAACAAATCTTATGTAACTGTATATATGTGATTTTTTTTTCTCCACTTGGTGTTGGAAACTATTCATTATATAGAGAAATCATAAAATCATAACTTAAAAAATTGTAAGTCTTTCATATGGTTTTAACATTTGTGAATAATATATGCAATGTTTTTATTTTCTTATTAAACTAACACATTTGCAATATTTTCTTTAAAGGCAAATCCTCCTCCGGTACTAGTTAACACAGACAGCTTGGAAACACCAACTTATGTAAGTTCCATTTCCTCCTTACTTTTAAATAATTCTACCTTTCTGTTCTGTTTTTAACATATATATACAAAGATCACAGTATTATTTTTGCTAATACATTTTACTTAAGATATCTGCTACAATATACTATACCTATAATTACCATAGTAAATGAAGCAGTATTTCAGTTGCTTTTTTTTTCATATTTATACAAAGCAAAAATGTTAACAAAAATTATGGTTTAATTTCTCAAAAAAAGACACAGAAATGACCAACAGATAAATGAAAAATTCCCAATATCACTAATCATCAGGGAAATGCAAATTAAAACTACAATGAGATATCATTTAATACCTATTTTGGTGGCTATTATCGAAAGACGAGATAGCAGGTATTGGTAAGACTATGGAGAAAAGGGAAACTTTGTACAGTGTTATGATTGTAAATTAATAACAGCCATATGGAAAACAGTACAAAGGAGTCTCAAAAAAATTAAAGTTAGAACAGATTGCCAGCAATCCCAGTTTGGGTATATAATCAAAGGACATACCATTCTGATATCAAAGAATTTCTGCACTTCCATGTTCCCTGTGGTATTATTCACAATAGCCAAGGCGTTGAAACGACCTAAGAGTCTGTCAAGGGACAAGTATATAGAGAAAATGTAATATATACATAGAGTAGTAGTACTATTTAGCCTTAGGAAAAAAGGGAAATCTCTTCATTTATTATAATGGCATTAGACCTGGAGGACTTTATGCCAAGTAAAATAAGCCAGGCATAGAAAAGACAAATACTATATCATCTCATTTATATGTGGAATCTGAAAAAGTAAAATTCATATAGAATAGAATGGCAGTTACTAGGGACAAGGGATTGGAGAGATGTTGGTTAGAGGATATAAATTTTCAGTTAAGTGGTGCATTGTCACACATGTAATCCCAGCAACTCAGGTGGCTGATGTAGGAGGATTGTAAATTTGAGGCCAGCTTCAGCAACTTAGCAAGACCTTGTCTCAAAATAGAAAATAAAAAGGGCTATGGATATAACTCAGTGGTAAAGTGCCCTGGATTCAATCCCAGTACCACAAAAGGTAAATTAATTAAATAAAATAAAACTTCAGGTATATTGAAGGAATAAGTTCTGGGGAGCTTTTATACAGTGTGGCAACTAGGGTTAATAATGATGTATTGTAGGCTTTGAAATTTGCTAAGAGAATGGATATGAAGTGTTTCCAGCACCAAAAAAATAAAAAAGAAAGCTAAGTTTATGGTAATGTACTGTTCTTGATCCTTAGTATCCCAATGTGGATGTGTTTAATATTACTAAATGTCTTTATACTTGAAATTAGCATGCAGTTTGAAGAATTGAGTATCAAGAAATAGGTTACTAGGAGTCCTATATAGCCTTCTCACTTTTCACCTTTTTAGAATCGCTCCATGTTCCTTGGAATCCTATATCATTATAAGTTAGCATTAAATTAAGCACCAGGGACGTTTACTAAACACTGACCTTGTACGGAGACGAATGGTGAAAAAAATCTCAAATTCTTTAAAGTAGAAATCCTAAGCCCTCAATATCAAAATGTTACATGTTAATACTGATGGGCTTTATAAGTGTACTCAAATGGATATCTTTTCCAAAACAAAATTTCAGACTATTTAGAAATAAACATAAATAAAGCCCAATGTGGCAATTGTGAGATTTGACCAAAACCCTGTACTGAGGAATATTTATAAATATTAATATGTTTTTAAAAACAGAAAAGAGTGCACATAAATGAATCGGGGATTTTTTGACTCACAGTATTTTTTTTCCCCAAGCCTAAAGAAACAATAAAGAGAGTATAGCTGAATATAATTTTTTTGACTTATACAAAAAGAACTTCCACTCATGTTGACAGGATATGTACAAATATGTCTTCCCATAACCTCAGATGCATACTGATGACATATTAGAAATTATATAAATGCTTTTATAATGTATACTCTGTAAAATAAGAGAAGAATGTCTTTTGTTGCTTTTTAAAAAATTTGTTCTTATTAATTATACATGACAGCAGAATGTATTTTGATTCTTTGTACACAAACGGAACACAACTTTTCATTTCTCTCGATGTACATGATGTAGAATCGCACCATATGTGCAGTCGTACGTGTACCATTCATCTGATTCCACTATCTTTGAGTTGAATGTCTTTAGGTGAGAAGAAAGTTGAATCAAGGAAGTAATCGGGTTTAACTCCATGAGAAACACAAGAATTAAGAACCCAAAATCATAGTAGAGATGGATTTTAATAGCCTTCAACAAAAGCTTCCAGTCCCTTCTACTAGACCATTAGGGTTCCTTCACTGTAGTACAATGAAGAAAGCAAAGTGGCTTGCATAGTTTCATTATTTCTGTTGAATTTGATTATTTGATATCATAATCACTCCTCTATTCTTTGCATAACAAACCACCTAAAAACCTGGTAGTTTAAAAGAACCACAGTTCATTATTTCTCATGATTTTCTGAGTTAACTGGATAGTTATCTTCTCTACATAGGTTTATTTATTTATTTATTTTCCCCTACATAGTTTTGAGTGGGGCACTGCAAAAGACTGGAAGATCAAAAATAACCTCATTCACATGGCTGGCAGTTAGGGCTGGCTACTAATTACAAGTATAACTGGAGCTTTTGGACCAAGGTCCTTCGTTTCTCATAGGTTGCTTGAATTTCCTTACATTATAGATGTTGGGTTCTAAGAAACCCATGTTAAAACCTAGGCAGTTACTACAATGTATCATATGACAATCTCACATCATCATTTGGGCCACATTTATTTTTATCAAAAGTAGTCACAGTGCTTCCCTAAATCTGAGGGAAGGAAAAATAAACCTTACTCTTGATGGTGGGATGATTTAATCATATTGCAAAGAGTATGTAGGATGGAAGATATAAGACATCTTCAGAAATGTAATTTATCACTCTTTCATTTGATTTTGCCTAACCTAGTATTGGTAGAAATTTTAAATCAAGTATTCGTGTCTGGGTTAATCTGGCTTCCTTGTTATAAAAGTTAGTTCTTTCAGGAGAGAATAGGGAATGAAGTTGATGGGGGAATAGTAGATGACCAAGATCTTGGATGGTGAATTTGACTTGGACATGAAATGTATAAGTGAAATCTGTGGCAGAGCTAAGCATAAAAGTTCAGATATGGAGGTGGGAAATTGCAGGATGTGTAATGGGAAGACCAAGACTTCAAATTAGATGTTATGTGAGGAGCATGAAGAGAGTGGGCTACGTTTAGGGTTGAAGGTAAGTGGTAGATTGGGGTCAGTTCATGCAGAGCCTTGATTACCAAGCTGTGAAGTTTGAATATTTCTAGAAAGGGAACTTCTGAAAGCATATTTATTTAGAGGAAATGTGTTATTAGCCTGAGCATTATAAAGATCCATCTGTTTAAAACAGAATGATTTGGACAATGGAGAAGACTAATGTAAGCACTTGGTAGATGGCATTCATTGGCAGAGAATGAAGAAGTAGGTAATGGTTTTCAGAAAAGATGAATTATTCAAATTAGAAAGTGTTGGCAGCAATTAAATATGTGGATCAAGGCAAAAGACTCAAGAGTTCAATAATAGTAAAGTTGAATGTATCTTCCTGTCGTGAAAGTCATGATACCATGAATGTTGATTCAGGCACATTTATACTCCTCCATTCCTTGAAAATCCTCCCTCAAATTATTGAGATGAATCTATATTATTTGTTTATTGTCCCATTTAACAGGTTTTCATTAATAAATCATGCAAAAATTATCTTGCCATTTCAGATTTTTCACTTTGAATTTTTGAGCTGCTTCTCTTTTCCCCCATTAGGTTAATGGCACTGATGCAGATTATGAATATGAAGAAATCACACTTGAAAGGGTAAAAACTATTAATTTCCTTAATCTATTGTTTTAAGAAACTTCTAAATACACTGCTCAATCATGTAGAATCCAAGGGAAATAGTCTTTCAAAAACAGGAAAATGTAATGTTTTCTTTTGTAAGTTCACAGATCATAAAATTAATCATAGCATTTTCAGAATATGTTTCTTTTCTTTTAATATCCCTTTTAAAAATAGTTTTAGATATACAGACAAGTTGTAGAGATAATACAGAGATTTTCCATTTTTTTCTGGACTCAGCTTCCCCTATTGTTAATATCTTACATTATTAAAATACATTTGTTTCAACTAATGAACCCGTATTTATGCATTGTTGTTAACTAAAGTCTATACTTATTCATAGTCTCTTAATTTTTGTTTTTCTTTTTCAAGGTCCCATCCAGGAAAACACTTTCCATTTTGTTATGTCTTTTCAGACTCTGATGACTAGTTTATCAAATTGTTTTAAAATTTTGCTTTTGTTAAAATTATTATTATTCATTTTAAATAAGTAGCATGCTGGTAACTACCATTTCATCAGTTTTCTTTCCAAATAATAGTTATAATCTAATGAATGAGTTCTAATGCAAGTTCAAAAACTTATGTATTCCTTCAATGAGGAAATAACTTAAGGATGCAATTCAGATATATAATATTTTATACATTTTCTGCACTTAGGGTGTTAAATCTGCACTTAGAGGCATTGTGACTGCCTGCTATGTACAAAGCCTTGAGCTCAATCTCCAGCATTGGAGGGGAAATTTTGTGTTCAATTTAATTTGCATTTTAGTAATGCACCCTGGACTGGTCAGCAGTTGGGGAAATCAAGTGTTCACACAAGTAAATTGCTTAAGTAACTGAAGGTCTGCATATTTAAAACTAATATCTTAGATAATTAAATATGTTTATGTTTGAAGCCAGAATAGACTCTGAGGGAAATATAGATCTGAGAGTCATCTTTATTGTCTGCTACTTAAATTCAGCTCACCTACTTAAGTGGATGTCTGAGTTACATCCAAGTAAGCAAAATATTAATGTATTTTCCATATTTTAATATGGTGTTTTATAACTTTACCTATCTTTTAATTTATTCTTCCTTGATCCTTTCCCAAAGCCTTCTAAATTCCTTAAGTTTAGTCAGGACTCAAATATTGTATTTTTTCCTGTTTGAAGACTGAGTATCTGAATAACTAGGTAATCTCTCCACAGTCTGTTAGTACTGTTATTGAGGTTGTAGTAACTCTTTAAAGAATTTAGACTGAAAAGGTATTTTTAAGTTAAATTAGAATTTTAAGACAAACAATGGTGGTCTAGTTATTTAAGCTATTTAACAGTGAAGTAATAGGTCCAGATATATCCATTTACTTGAATTACTTGAAAGCTAGAATTAGAACATTCTTGAAAGATAAATATTTCTTGGATCATTTGTCCTTAAAGACTCTTTAAACCAGTAGAAGCCTCTGTGGAGAAATACTATTCAGAAATTTCATTTCTTCAATTTGTAAAGCAAACAAAAAAATAGAGCTGCTTTGTCAAAACTTACTTTGCTTATCAAGAAAGCTCACCATTGTTTAAGTTCTCAAAATGGGTTTTTAGTATTAAAAAATGTGTTTTGATAGTCAGGTTTATTGGTTAACATGTCAAGGATTGAAGGCAGCTGTTACTTAGCAGCTCCAATTTCATCATTTTAAAATAAACTCATGGTAAAGCTAGCCGAAGAAAAGTACCACTCCAGTACTTTTTTAAAGGCTGAAATATAATATATTCATTTGATCCACTCAAAAGTAATGGTAGTGGAAAGATCACTTAAGTGTTTGTTTCTTAGGAGAGATTTGCCCTACCAAACTTGGATGAGTTGTAGTCTAAAAGAAAGAAACTTCTAGCAATACCTCTGCAGATAGATGACTAATTAAAGGACAAATGGCACATGTTTTAAAGAGAGAACTGCAAATAGATTTCAGAAGTACTGGTGCTAGTACATTTTCTTAAACCTCACCTAAGCAGTAATGCCTCTGAAAGATCTTAGTTAATATTGTCTATTTAATTTAGAATCTTCGTATTACTCACATATATACATTTCTGTGTTGTATAGAAATGTACAGTTTCTAGGTCCTATAATATCAGGAACTTACCAATAAAAAATAATTCTTATTGTCTTGACTTTTTTTCCTCTCCCCAGGGAAATTCAGGGCTTGGTTTCAGCATTGCAGGTGGTACAGACAACCCACACATTGGAGATGACTCAAGTATTTTCATTACCAAAATTATCACAGGGGGAGCAGCTGCCCAAGATGGAAGATTGCGGTATGTTTTACACTTCATGTTTTAATGTTGAATTCACTTTAGAGTGCTTTCTCGAAGCATACTGGACAAGGAATAAGTACAAAGAAGGAACACTATCATAACTAATATAGTGTAACATGTTCAAACAACATGCAAATGAATGAAAAAGATAATTTTGCTTTTAGCATTGTTTTCTTCTTTTTGCTTATCAGTTTCTTTTTGTTTAACTCAGTTTTATCCTAGATATTTTATTTTGAATAACTGATTTTAATGTTTGTGACCAAATTTATGGAAATCATGTTCCTCGCATACTTTCAGATACATTCACAAAATATTTTCCATTTGTTTCCTAGTTTGGAAGCATGTAGATAAGCTTATTTAAGATAGAAAGGATTATATATGTCTGGTTTTATATCCCATACCACAAAGAGTAAAGTTTATACAAACTTTAAGTAAATTTAATATATTTCCTTAGATAAAAATAACAGTGGTCTCATTTAAGTAGTGTTCTATTTTGGAAGGTGTCTTTTACAAACTTTGTATTTCATAAATTATAGCACTGTTCTATTTGTGTGTTGTTTTATTTATTTTATTTATTTATTTTTTATTGGTTGTTCAAAACATTACAAAGCTCTTGACATATCATATTTCATACATTAGATTCAAGTGGGTTATGAACTCCCATTTTTACCCCAAATACAGATTGCAGAATCACATCGGTTACACATCCACATTTTTACATAATGCCATATTAGTAACTGTTGTATTCTGCAAATGTCTTCTTTGATATAATGAGAGCAACTAAGAACAGAGCAGGGAGGAAGAGCAGGAGGAAATGATTAACATTAAACAGAAACATGAGGTGGGAGGGAAAGGGAGAGAAAAGGGAAATTTCATGGAAATGGAAGGAGACCCTCATTGTTATACAAAATTACATATAAGAGGTTGTGAGGGGAAAGGGAAAATAAACAAGGAGAGAAATGTGTGTTGTTTTATATGTGTATATGGTAACAGGCTAAAATTTTAGTGTTAAGGGATTTATATGGTTTCTTAAAAGCAACATCTTATTTTAAGGCTATTGCTATCTTATGCAGCTGTTCAGTTTATAAACTTGACTTCTTACTGGATGTGATAGGTTGTATAATGAAATTAGACATAAAAATTAAGAATATGTGACCATTCATGGAAATGTAGAGTTACTTCCTGGTTCTGTTACTGGCCTTTTATTTGTGCTGCTTGTGTGAATAAGTTATGTTTCCTTTGTTTCACTTACAAATATACCTATAGAACTAAGGTACCATTGCTTTGGGTAGTAGAATTTTTTTCCTCTCAAGAAAGTTAATTAGATACAGAAGCTTATCACAACCTGTATTAATATTTTAATTGTGTTTTGTTCCTCTCCCTGCTAATTTGAGATGGATTTCCCCCGCCCTCCCACCAACAAAATATCATGGAGTCAAAACTGAGACCAGAGCTGGGGGAACAGGTTAGGATTAGGAACAAATCAAATTTTTTAAAATATGTATTTTTAAATTAAGTTATTCACATAGGAAACCTTTGAAATAAATGACTTAATTTTCAAGAAATAAATTCAATCTTTTAATTCACTTTTTTCATTTGATAAGTCAGTGGATTAATCTGCTTTGACACCATGTCTTTGAGCCTCATTTTTAAAAATCTTAAACAGCCCTGTTGCTTATTTTTTTGGGTTCTCATCCATCAGTTTCTTCATCTATATAATGAAGATAAAAGCTATACCAACATTACAGACTATTGTAAGGATTAAAACACTAAGAAAGTACCTAGCATATGGTTAGTGCCAAATGTTTGCTGGTTTTATAAAGGATCTTAATGCTTACACATAAACCTATAAATGTTTAATGTTTTGTGTAATAATTTATTACGTGTACTATTTGTTTTGTTCCCTTTGCTCACCTTTGGGTAGTGATTATCTTTATACATTAGAATTTAGCATGTAGCACCTTCACATTTATGTTTATTGGAGTCAATAATCTCTTTACCTTAAAAACAAAGATTACAAAAATTTGATAAAGTGGAAAATTGGTATTTAAGTTTTTGAATATTTTCTCAGGGTTAATGACTGTATATTGCGAGTAAATGAAGCAGATGTTCGTGATGTAACACATAGCAAAGCAGTTGAAGCATTGAAAGAAGCAGGGTCTATTGTACGCTTGTATGTAAAAAGACGGAAACCAGTATCAGAAAAAATAATGGAAATAAAGCTCATTAAAGGTCCTAAAGGTATGTAGTACATCATACTAAAACAAATTATAAAGTAAGCTCTCTGAGTTAAATGTAACTGTGATCTTATTTTTGATATATATCTCCAAATTAGCAAAACTTAATAATCTTCTATAGTACGTAAGTGGATGGATTTAGAGAATCTCTCATTTATATGGATTTTTTATCTTAAGTAGAATGTTAGATATCTGCATTCCTACTAAGATTATAAGATTTGAAAAGCTTTTTATGTTAATTTATGTATACTATTACACATTTTACTGCTGTGAACACAAAGTCAATGTATAATTTAACTTCCATGTGGTGTATATAGGCAAGATTTCCAGTTGGGTGTGGTGACGCACATCTGTAATTCCAGCAATTCAGGAGGCTGAGGTAGGAGAATTCTAAGTTCAAAGCCAGCCTCAGAACTTAGTAAGACCCTGTCTCAAAGTAAAAAATTAAAAGTGCTGGGGATGTGGTTAAGTTTGCCCCCAAGTTCAATCCCTGGTACCAAAGAAAAAAAAAAAAAAGACACACAAAGATTTCTATAAACTATCTTTAATGAATAGTTTTTAAGAGCAGGAATCAAAATCTCTATAAGTAGATTAGTCCCTACGTAAGTATTTGAACATTAAGATAAATGAAATATTCTTGTCCTTAAAAATTTGAAGATAGATATAGTGTTTACTTTCATGTGTGATAATTAATCTGCAATGTATTTTAAATGCAGATACATAACTTAAGTCAAAAAGAAAAAAGTATAGTGTTTATCATAAGCAGTTACATGTACAATGAGGACTGTTAAGGTATGATTTCTAAATGTTTAAAAAACTGAGAAGATTAAAAATAAATGGAGGGCTGGGGTTGTGGCTCAGTGGTAGAGTGCTTGCCTAGCACATGTGAGGCCCTGGGTTCAATCCTCAACACCACATAAAAATGAAGTAAAGATACTGTGCTCACGTACAACTAAAATAAATAAATAAATAAATGGGAATATTGATTCCAGCATGTGGCTTCATGGAAGAAGTAGAATTCCAATAAATGGAAAAGGAACAGAGGGCTGAGAATTTGTATTTCTTATAAATTATTTTAATCTTGTGAACATAGTAAAAGTATTAGCAAACATAATTAAGAAGAAAAAACAGTAAAACATAATTTTTAATACCTCTTTGGACTGACAATCCATTTACAAAAAGACTTAAAGAAGGAACCAGGGGGAAAAAGCAATCTGTTTGTAATTGTCCCGTGGTTATAGAATAAATACTTAGGATTTTTAAAGTAGATAGATAAATAGATTATTTTCTATTTAAAAAAAAAGTCATTAGTATGATGGAATTATCACCCTCTAATTTTCAGCCATTTGTTTTTAGGTTTAATTTTGCCTTTATTGATGAGAATCTTAATCTAGTGTTTTCCAATCAGGTCTTGGGTTCAGCATTGCTGGAGGTGTTGGAAATCAGCATATTCCTGGAGATAATAGCATCTATGTAACCAAAATAATTGAAGGGGGTGCAGCACATAAGGATGGTAAACTTCAGATTGGAGATAAACTTCTAGCAGTAAGTATAAGAAATCTATTGTTTTAAAAATCATTTGGATTTATATTTTTTCTCTTGACAGATTCTAGAATTCCTATATAAGTGAATTTTAACAGTGTTTTATCAAAACCTGAAAAGTGATTCTTAGTGATTGTTGGTATTTATTTGCCATTTCCATTTCTTCTACCAGCCCCTCACTTGTCTCTTTTATTCCTTTCTCCCTCTCCCTCTCCTTTCCCCGACCCTCCCTCTTCCCCTCTATGAGGGGTGGCCCCCATTGTTAAAGGATTGAGGGCTTAAAAATGCACAGAATTGTTTAATCACAATCCTTAAATTTATAATGCAGTGTCATCTTGATGTATGACCTTCTTTTGTTTTACTTTAAATAATTTATTTATAATATAATGAAAACTAGTGAAGTTATTACTAAGCCCAAGAACTAAAACATCAACAATTTTGTGTTTCTTACTCTATTTTACCACTTTGCAGATTTTATGCCAAATTTCTTTTGCAGAAAAGCAGGGTGTGGCCATTACATGAAGTTTTAGAGGGAAAAGTCTGCTGGTATTTCTTAACAATTTGTAATGTTAAAGCGTGTGCAGCTGCTGAATAAGGCAGGTCAAACTTGAAAGACAATAAAGACCTTCTCTTTATACAGGATAGCATTTATTTTATTAATAATATAAAAACAAAAATGAAAGGCAAAAGTGAAAAGAAATACATCACAAGATTAGGAGAAACACCAACACCTAAAGTCATTAACTAAGAAAGCATTATCCTAACAACCCGAGTGACCTAGTGATTCCCTCAAGGTCACTTCATATACCACCCTCCAAGTACTGCAAGATGGAAAAGAGGGAGTGATAGCCTTGAGATGTGTGAGTGGTGACTGAGACAACCTATGGAGAAGTCTGCATTCTTTTGATATGCTGTCAAGAATGTGCAAAGGGGTTGAAGTTGTGGCTCAGTGGTAGAGTGCTCGCCTAGCACATGCAAGGCCCTGGGTTCAATCCAAATAAAATAAAGGTATTGTGTCCAACTACAACTAAAACAAAATATTAAAAAAAAAAAAAAAAAAAAGAACGTGAAAAGGTCATGGCAGGCACATGGGCAGGGAAGATCGTTAATGTTTTCTTTAGCCTTTTACAATCATTAATTATAAAACTATCTTTGGTATAAGATATAAAGATACATGGAATACTGATAAATACACATTAATACAGTGGGAATGATTATGTGGTAAATTATAGTATTCTTAACAAATGGTTTAAACATATATGTCTAAATATTTTGTTTAGTAGAATCTAGAAACTTTTTAAAACTGTTGTATATAGTCTAATACTTTTTCACTCATATTGTCTTACTGAGACTTGACCATGTTGCTGCCTTGAGTTGAAATTTATTTATTTCACTTTTATATAATATTTAATTTTGTGACTATCTCACAGTTTATCCAGTCTTCATCAGTAACTTCTTTGGTCCATGTTTCTTAGAAATATGGGAGCTGATTTCAGAGAAGTTGATTTCAAAGAAGCTAACTAGAAAATGAAAAGTAGAGAATGAAAGAAAGCGAATACAAGGTGGAATGTTTGTAAGCTGGCTATAATTTCATAAGAAAATACAATATGTCTTTGTCAGGTAGAAAAATCTTCTAGGCAGACAACGTGGAACCCCTAAATCTTATCTAGCCATCCAGGGAAAAGCAAGAAGATTTACATTCTGGCCCCTGTTTGTCTCCCCTGGCTTTCATTTTTCATTTTCAGTTTTACATATTGTAATCTACCCTGTAGTAGATTTCTGAATTCTGTTACCCATCTCCTCTGGGCACTGGTAGGGAAGCCAACTCCCACTTTCTGTGTTATACCATTTCACCTGAGCTCAACAATGGAGGGAAGAGCTAGAACTGCAGTAGTATAGGTAGATCAGACTTGGGCCTGTGACCTGTTTGTGCTCCCACTATGTGGGACACATCAGCCATGCCCAGACCCAGCTAGAAGAGGCTGAGACCTGGTAACAGTAGGAGTCTAAGTGAAAGTAGCAGTATCCAGGGCATTTCATTGAAAAAGCACCCAAGGCCGAGAGATCACGTGGGCTCAAGTGAATTGGCAAAGGCTCATAAAGTGGCGTAGTATAGTGGTAAGTTGAGCTATTTCCACTTTTTTGCTATTATGAATAATTCTGCTAGAAAGTGCCTGCGGTATGTTCTGGTGAGCATTTGCTGCAAGAGTTTCATTGGCTGTTTATTTGAATTATATCATTTGATGTTTTATTACCAGAAGTATTAGGGGGGTGGTTCTGGGGATTTAGACCCAGGGGGGTACTTTATCACTGAACTATATTCACAGCCCTTTTTATTTTTTACTTTGAGACAGTAACTCTCACTGAGTTGCTTAGGGCCTCATCAAGTTGCTGAGGCTGCCCTTGAACTTGTGATCCTCCTGTCACAGCCTCCTAAATTGCTGGGATTACAGGTGTGTGCCACCATGCCCAGCCCTAATAGTAGTAGTTTTAAAACAACAACTCAAAAAAAAAAAAAAAAGACAAACAAACAAAAAAAAAACTGTTGTTTTCCATACTGCTGTAAAGTTTTACATTCCACCAGCAATAAGATTCTTTTGTTCTGCATCCTGTCCAATACTGCAAAGAGATTTTTGTTGGGATTTTTTTTTTTTAAAGTTAATGATGGTGAAAAGGAAATAACAGAATTCTAACTTAATCCTCTTACAGCTATGATTGCCTTTCTTTCCCCTACATGAAACACCTTTTCACCATCACTGCCTACACATACACGTATACACACACACACTCCAGTTTTTAAACAGCTTTCTATCTCCACTAGGTTTCTCACTTTTATTGTTTAACATGGCTGTCAAGTTTTCCTTTATGATTTCTCCAGAACCAATATTCTTCGTATGGAACCAGCAATCTGTGCTGATTTACCATCGTGGCAATCTTCTCATTCTCTGTGGAATCCATTTTTAATGAAGCTTTTGTTCTTGTAATTACTCTGAAATTATGCACTTCTCAGTCCTCATCTGAATTGACTTACTTGGCATTTGGCACACCATCCTTCTTCTCCAAATACTTTTTTCACTTTGCTTAGCAGTCACTCTCTTACTTGATAATTTCTCTTACCTTACTAGCCACACCTTACTCTCCTTTTTTGGTGCTTCCTCATATCCCTTACCTCCAAACATTGAAGTAATTCAGAACTCAGGCCTTGTATACTCTTGTTTATCAGTGCTCACTCCTAAGGACTCTGTTTTCTAAACTGTAAGTCAAAACTGGCAAATGGGCAATAAATGTTCAAATTCAAAATTTCAGGTTATCTTTTTTCACACTACACATTGAATCCCTTAGCAAATCTTGTCAGCTCTTAATTAGTTATCCAGTGCTGCTAAGAAAATTCAAAATGTAATGACTAAAATAACAAAAATAATGTATTTCCTTACAGTTCTGAAAATTGGGTAGGGCTTGGCAGGTTCAGCTTGTCCTTAATTCCCACTTGGTATTAACTGGGGTCGCTCATCTGAGCCAATCTACTTCCATATAGGCTCAAACATATTATGGGCAAGTTAGTGTTTCCTCCTGTTGGGAGATCAGTTGGGGCTGTTAGCGTTTAATTCCCTAGTGACTTCTTAAGTTTAGGTTGAGTTTCTTACAGGATGGTGGCCGGGTTCTTAAAAATGAGCTTTTCAAGAGAACAAGCTCTAGAGAATGGTGTTTATCAATCCTCTCTTTACATCATGGTTATTGTATCTCTCTGGCTAAAACTAGTTATGTGGCCCAGCAAGATTCACTATAGGAAGAGATTTTTGTAAGGATACTAATATCAGGAAGTATAGCTCCTTGCAGACTACTAACAATATACTACATTTGTATATTTAAAAATTCAGGCAGTCCTCACTTTGCATAGCAGTATAGACCATTAGAATTATCATGCTGGTGAAACCTTGCAAACAGTTTTAATAATCACTGAGTAAAATTGACAGTTCTTCTATGACATTTGAATTTTGGGGTCAAAGCATTAAAAATTCTATAGTCAATTATGAAGGTATAAATTAGAGAAAAGAAAAATACATTAAAACTAATATTTTAGTACACTATAATTTAAAACATAAATGTTGATAATGCTTTATTTCATTAGTAAATCTTGTAAAATGTTGCAAAAGCATCAAAGACCAATGTAAACCTAAAGCAAGGAGAAGGAAGAAAATTTATTATAATAAAGATTAGAACAGAAGTAAATGAAACAAGATATAGAAAAAACATAGACAAGATCAACGATACCAAAAGTTGGTTCTTTGAAAACATCAACAAATTGCCAAGCTTTTAGCTAGACTGTCCAAGAAAATAAAGAAGACTCAATTTCTAAAAGCAAGGATGAAAACAGGGACATAAGAGAATGTACTATAAACAACTGGACAGCAATATCTTAGATAATTTAAATGAAATGGACAAATTACTGGAAAGAAAAACTACCACTTTTGTCCAGTGTTATACTAGAAATTCCAGTCAGGACAGCAAAAACAGGAAAGATAAAACATTCAGAATAGAAAGGAAGGCACTGAGGATGTAGCTTAGTGGTAGAGCACTTGCCTAGCATACGTAAGTCGTGGGTTCGATCCCAAGCCCTTGAGGGCGGGGGAATAGAAAGGAGATATAAAACTGTATTATTTGCAGATAACATAGGAAGTCCTAAAAAGATTAATAGAATTAATAAACAAGCTTATAGTGTCAGTACCTAAAAATCGGTTACATATCTATATAGAAGATAGCTGAATTATCAGTAAATAATTGAAAATACAACTCAATTTGACTATTAACAATGGAAGTACAAATTAAATATAACTGATGTACAAAGCACACACATCATTTTATATTCAGTGTTGACAGTGGTATAAGTGAATGGACATTCCCACGTTCTGTAATAGTAAATGTAAATTTACTGAAGCCACTTAGGAGAAAAAATTTAAATATCAATCTGAGAATTATTTAAGAAATTATGGTATAAACACACAATGGAGTACTGTGCAACAGTTTGTTTTTTAAGGTGGTAATTCTGTGTCCCAATGTGGAGCAGTCTCTACTGTACTTATTATTAAAAATCCGGGGCTGAGGTTGTGGCTCAGCAATAGAGCACTTGCCTCACATGTGCAAGGCCCTGAGTTCGATCCTCAGAACCATATATAAATAAATAAATAAAATATTAAAAATCCATTTGCAGGGGGCGGGGGTTGTAGCTCAGTGGTACAAAGCTTGCCTCACACATATGAGGCACTGGGTCCGATCTTCAGTACCACATAAAAATAAATAAATAAAATAAAGGTATTATGTCCATCTACAACTAAAAAAATATTTCTGAAAATCCATTTACAGAGCATAAGTTGTAATATGGTCTCATTTGTTCAAAAAAGGAAAAAAAACTAAAATGTACCCATACACATTATATTCATGAATGCCTAAGAGGAGGTTGAGGCTGGTGGAATAAAAAGACTAGTGGCTGAAATCAAGATTGGCTATTTCAATATATTTTGTGTATTTTCAAAATAACAGTGACCAAAATTTCTGACAAGAACAGCTTAGAGGATGAGAAGTTTATTTTGGCTCACAGTTTCAGAGGTGTTCACTCCATGGTTGACCAACTCCATTACCCTGGTTTTCTGCCATGGAGACAGAAAACCATGGCAGAGGTACTCTGCTTGTGGTGGCCAGAAAGCAGAAAGAGAAAGTAAGGGGAGAGTAAGGGGCCACAGGAGATGAACGTTTCCAAGGCATGCCCCCAGTGACCTACCTCCTCAAGCCATCCCCCACCTGCCTACAGTTACTACCCCGTTAGTCCATTTACACTAGGATGGACCAGTTAGTTTACAACTCTCATAATCTAATCATTTTACCTCTTAATATTCCTGCATTAGCACAAGCGCTTTTAAAGGACACCTCATATTCAAACTATAATAGTTATATAAAAAAAAAAACTTTGTGATGATATGGACAGTAAAGATGGGTATTTTCTTTCTATATAGCATACTTTGTTTTCCTTAAATCACTCCCAGTTTCCCCTATATTTTCATGTAATTTTTTTTTAACTAAAGCAATGTTTTTAAAAAATAAGTATCTCTTGGGATTTTCTTTTAGGTGAATAGCGTATGCTTAGAAGAAGTTACTCATGAAGAAGCAGTAACTGCCTTAAAGAACACATCTGATTTTGTTTTTTTGAAAGTGGCAAAACCAACAAGTATGTATATAAACGATGGCTATGCACCACCTGATATCACCAACTGTAAGTCTGTTTGCTTAAGCTTGCTAAAATTTTTTTAGTTGATTTTATTTTTTTAAATATATGACAGCAGAATGCATTACAATTCTTATTAAACATGTAGAGCACAATTTTTCATATCTTTGTATATGAAGTATGTTCACACCAATTCATGTTTTCATACATGTACTTGGGGGGTTTTGTGATTTTTTTGCATTACAATTCTTATTACACATATATACCACATTTATCTTATTTCTTCAGATGAAATGTTCTCAGTGTAATAACATCTAAACATTGTAGGGCTGGGGATATGACTCAAGCGGTAGCACGCTCGCCTGGCATGCGAGCGGCGCTGGGTTCGATCCTCAGCATCACATACAAATAAAGATGTTGTGTCCGCCAAAAACTAAAAAATAAATATTAAAAAATTCTCTCTCTCTCTCTCTAAAAAAAATTGTAAAATTTTAAAAGAACTCTTAATCATTTTAATCTAATAATTTTTTAAAAATCTATTTTAAGTGAGAAACTTAAATAAGAAGATGTAATCCTTTTCCCCCTTTACTGCTTAATATTTAAAGCATTGATTCTGAGGCTTCTATGTAAATAATAATCACTAAAGGGAATTTGCAAATGATGCTGATTATTGTCCTGTTCTAATAGTTTTGGGCACGAGCACAGAAAGTTTATTAACAAGACTAATCTTGATGCTTCTTCCTGGAAAGATAGACTACAACTTCTATTCAATGTTATATGGAAATTCTAGCCAAGGCAATTAAAAATAGAAAATAAAAGATACTCAAAATAGAAAAGAAGGGATTGGGGATGTAGCTCAGTGGTTCATGGACTGCACTTTGAGAATCACTGCTTTTCAGTAGTTCCAGAAGTTAAGGGATTTTCTGTTCTCTCAGTACATTAGAAAGAAAGTACTGTGGCGGGGCATGATAGCGCACGCCTGTAATCCCAGAGGCTTGGGAGACTGAAGCAGGAGGATCACGAATTCAAAGCCAGCCTTAGCAAAAGTGAGGTGCTAAGCAACTCATTGAGACCCTGTCTCTAAATAAAATACAAAATAGGGCTGGGGATGTGGCTCAGTTATTGAGTGCCCCTCAGTTCAATCCCCAGTATAAAAAAAAAAAAAAAAGTACTATGTTTGTACTTTAAGCTTCTAGTGTATTGCCTATTGCATGCAGCCCAGTTGTGTTTCATACAAATTGTTATTAAACTACTTACGTGCAAGTTTCTTCCCTGATTTTGAGTATTTTAAAATGTATAAGCTGAGATGAGATTTAAATGTATTTTAATAGGGTCGTGTTGACTGAAAAATGGGAGCATTATATGTTCTACACATTGAATTAATGTTAAAAGAACCCATGAATAGTAAATATCTTAAATGTACTTTGTAATTTCCTTTTGTGTGTTCCCTTTTTTAGTTGTGATTTTTGTAAATGATAGTATTTTCACTTTTAAAATGATTAAGATTTTTTATCACCACTAATCATTATAAAGTAAATACAAATTATATTATGAAATCTATTTACTGTCCCCCAATCATTCATCTTTGTTATCTGCTCATTGATTTAATTACTCAAGTATAACGAATTATTTTCTTAATAGAATTATCCTTTCTAATGGACAGAGAACTTGTACTTCTTTTATGTCAAAGGCAAGTCAAAGCATGCTAGTCAATTTGAATGCAACCCATTTGAAATTCTCACATACCCTTTGTCCTACACATGCACTTCATATAAGGACTTTGTATATTTTTTTGTTGTTGTTGTTATTTAAGATGCAGTAATTCTAGTAAGAATCTGATTCAAGTATCAGTCTTATTCTGAATATTGTCTCTTCAAGACAGCCACATGCACATTTGGGATAGTTGTTTCACAAATTGAGAAAGGAGTGCCCTAATTATGACCAAACATACAAATTGTCATGCTGCTTCTTTAATTAATATGTTAAACAGAAAAAAAGTCATTTTATATTGAATTATCCTTTTATGTATAATAGCATAACATTTAAAAAATGGTAGAACTAGTTCTAAAGTGTGATTAATGATTGGTTATCTGTCATAAGGGCAAAAGCTTGATATTTATTTCTTTGTTGTTGTTTCTATTATTAAATGAATAGAACATTATGAAAAAGTTTGCAGTTCACCTTGCTAGTTTATTATATTTTACTTTCACTTCATCAGCAACTACAATTATGAATTTTATTGCATTCTTCCAGTCTGGTGTTTTTGGGGGGTTTTTTGTTTGTTTGCTTGCTTGCTTTTATTTTTCAGTTTTAGGCGGACACAGTATCTTTATATGGTGTTGAGGATCGAACCCAGCATCCCATGTCAGGCAAGCATGCTACTGCTTGAGCCACATCCCCAGCCTGTTTTTTTAGATTTTTTTTTAAGGTGGACACACAATATCTTTATTTTTTATTTTTATGTGGTACTGAGGATCGAACCCAGCGCCTAATCCGTCTACCACTGAGCCACAACCCCAGCCCTGTTTGTTGTTTTTTAATATTTATTTTTTAGTTATATGTGGACACATCTTTTTTTCCTTTCCATTTTTCCATTGCAATTTTTTTATTCTAATTTGTTATATATGTCAGAATTCATATTATTAATATAGAGCACAATTTTTCATATCTCTGGTTGTATATAAAGTATATTCACACTATTCGTGCCTTCATATATGTACTTACAGTAATGATGTCCATCTCATTCCACCATCTTTCTTACCCCCAAGCCCCCTCCCCTTCTCTTCCTCTCCTTAGCTCTATCTGGAGTTTATTTAATCCTCCCATGCTCCCCTTCCAGAACCCCATTATGAATCAGCATCCTTGTATCAGAGACAACATTCTGCATTTGTTTTTTTGGGTTGGCTAACTTGACTTAGCATTTATATTCTCTAACTCCATCCATTTACCTGCAAATGCCATGATTTTATTCTCTTCTAATGCTGAATAGTATTCCATTGTGTATATATACCACATTTTTGTTATGCATTCATCTACTGAAGGACATCTAGGTTGGTTCCACAGTTTAGCTATATAAATTGTGCTGCTGTAAACATTGATTTGGCTGTGTCCCTATTGTATGCTGTTTTTCAGTCCTTGGGTATAGAATGAGGAGGGTCTAGCTGGGTCAAATGGTGGTTCCATTCCCAGTTTTCCAAGGAATTTCCATACTGCCTTCCATATTGGCTGCACTATTTTGCAGTCCTACTAACAATATATGAGTGTGCCTTTTTCCCTACATCCTCGCCAATACTTGCTTACTGTTGTTTGTATTCTTAATAGCTGCCATTCTGACTGGAATAAGCTGAAATCTTAAGAGTAGTTTTGATTTGCATTTCTCTAATTGCTAGAGATGTTGAACATTTTTTCACATATTTGTTGTTTGATTGTATGTTCTCTTCTGAGAAGTGTCTGTTTAATTCCTTGGCCCATGTATTGATTGGGTTATTTGTTTTTGTTTGTTTGTTTGTTTTGGGGGGGTTGGTATTAGAGTTCTTTATATATCCTAGAGATTACTGCTTTATCTGATGTGCATGTGGTAAAAATTTGTGCCCAAAATACAGGATTTCTGTTCACCTCACTGATTGTTTCTTTTGCTGAGAAGAATCTTTTTAGTTTGAATCCGTCCCATTTATTGATTCTTGATTTTAATTCTTGTGCTATAGGAGTCTTATTGAGGAAGTTGGGGCCTAATCCAACATGATAGAGATTGAGGCTTACTTTTTCTTCCATTAGGTGCAAGGTTTCTGGTTTAATTCCTAGGTCCTTGATCCACTTTGAGTTGAGTTTTGTGCATGTTGAGAGATAGGGGTTTAATTTCATTTTGTTGCATATGGATTTCCAGTTTTCTCAGCACTATTTGTTGAAGAGGATATCTTTTCTCCAATGTATGTTTTTGGTGCATTTGTCTAATATAAGATAACTGTAGTTATGTGGGTTGGTCTCTGTGTCCTCTATTTTGCACCAACTTTTTGTTTTGTCAATTTTTTCAATTGTTTCTTCTGTTTCAATTTCATATTTTGGTGCCAATATCATGCTGTTTTTGTTACTATTGCTCTGTAGGATAGTTTAAGTTCTGGTATAGTGATGCCACCTGCTTCACTCTTCTTGCAAAGGATTCCTTTAGGTATTCTGGGTCTCTTATTTTTCCAGAAGAATTTCATGACTTCTTTTTTTTTTAATATTTATTTTTTAGTTTTTTAGGTTGGCACAATATCTTTATTTTATATTTATGTGGTGCTGAGGATTGAACCCAGTGCCTCATGCATGCTAGGCGAGCACTCTACCACTGAGGCACAATCCCAGCCCATGACTTCGTTTTCTGTTTCTATGAGGAATGTCATTGGGATTTTGATTGGAATTGCATTAAATCTATATAATGCTTTTGGTACTATGGTCATTTTGACAATATTAATTCTGCCTATCCAAGAACAAGGTAGATCTTTGCATCTTCTAAGGTCTTCTTTAATTTCTTTCTTTATCATTCTGTAGTTTTCATTGTAGAGGTATTTCGTTAAGTTGATTCCTAAGTATTTTATTTTATTTTATTTTTGAGGCTATTGTAAATGGGATAGTTTTTCTCATTTCCCTTTCAGAGGATTTGTCACTGATTTATAGAACTGCCTTCGATTTATGGATGTTGATTTTGTATTCTACTACTTTGCTGGATTCGTTTATTAGTTCTAGAAGTTTTCTGGTGAAATTTTTGGGGTTTTCTAGGTACAGAATCATATCATTGGCATATAGTGCTATTTGAGTTTTTCCTTTTCCTATTTATATCCCTTTAATTTCTTTCATCTGTCTAATTGCTCTGGCCAGTGTTTCAAGAACTATGTTAAATAGAAGTGGTGAAAGAGGGCATTCCTGTCTTGTTCCAATTTTTAGAAGGAATGCTTCCAGTTTTTCTCCATTTTAGAATGATGTTGTCCTGGGGTTTAGCACAGATAGCTTTTATGATGTTGAGAGATGTTCCTGTTATCCCTAATTTTTCTAGTGTTTTGAACATGGAG